ATATATATATATATATATATAGGAAAAGAAATAAAAAAAAGTGAAGAAGTCCCATCAAATGAAGAGTGAGGATGTGAATATGATAATAATCACAAAACAAGAAGGGGATGGCAGAGGAATATGCCAAATGCAGTGCACGTGCTCAGTTGAATCAACAAACAGAAAAGTGGGACCTGAAAGGATCGATGAATTTGTTTCTGGTATATATATGAGCACGGGCTCATGCTGCAGAAATTTTTCTGTTCACTCCACTTCCCATTTTCCCCTCTTTCTTAGACAACGACACAACGTTTCAACTTCAAACACACTGATAACATAACGGAACCAACCAGAAGGTCCACCTATCTCTACTTTCTGGACTCAATTAACTTTAGGATTCTCCGAATGTAACATATACTGTAATCATGATTAATTATTAATTAAGATTGTATAATTATGTATTTAAGTACATTACAATTTTTAACAATTGATTTTTTTTAATCATCAATATATATCATGAGAGTTGTTTTTTATTCATCAACAATTATGAGTATATTATTATATGAGTTAATCACATATACACTGTCAATATAAAAAAATTTTACACTAACAACTAATTATATCTTTTAATTATGCTATGTCACTATTAAAAGTAAATGTATTTATAGTGACATGGCACAATTAAAAAATATAATTGATTGCCAGTATAAAAATATTTTACACTTGTAGTATATAAGTGATTAACTCTTATTATATTACTTAAAATATAATTGGTTGATATTAATGTTCAATTAATTCGAACTTACATCTCTTAGGGTTGTTTTGTATAATGTTTTATCTGAATCCCAACATGTGATTGACTCTCTGTCTGGTAGTTATAAAGGTAACATTCACTTTCTACTATTTTTCTACATAATAAAAATCATTTTGGAGGAGTCAAATTTTTCAACACTAATAATTTATACATTTTTAAATAGACTAATTTAAATATTATTATTATATCGATTGAAGACATGAAAATATATTTTACAATTTATCTAATGTAATTTTATTTTATTTTTTAAAAATAAATTTTATTTTATAAATAAATCAAATAAATTAATTCAATTTAAACGGAATATGATTGGATTGGATTGATTCGATTTAGAAACTGAAAAATAAAAATCAAATTAATCCAACTTAATTAAAGTTAATTGATCCAAATCAAAATATATTTCAAATCCAATTCAATCCAATCCTTTGTCCACCCTAATTTATGTCATCGATCAATCAAACCACTTGTATTTTTTATTACAATTAAATTAATTTTACTGAAAAATATTAGCATGATCCTCAAATAAAAGATTGAAATGTGATATTTCTCTTGTATATAATGTTGTAATTAAAAATATTGTTTTAATTTTTGAAATACAGTCATTTTATGAAAAAGAATTATACTTTTTATAAATAATTGTATCTCCTAATTATATATATATATATATATATATATATATATATAATAAATTTGTTTTATTGTTTTTTTATTGTTTTTTGTTAGAAGTCGGTATGAAATTCTAATCGATATCTATTTATTCCATTTATTAGGGCCTATTATCATTCCAACTTCAACGCCTTTTTGAATGACTTGATTGATAACTAGAATGATAGCAAACTAGCTTTGATCACGGTTTCATTTTGTCAATGTTTTGCGTATTAATTGTCTAATTAATGGAATAATAGTTAAGTAACTTACTGTATGAAGGTATACTACTCTCATTAAGTTTCAATAACTCATTAAGGATTATTTAGAAAAAAACATAATATAATATCTATTAATTAATTAGATAATTATAACCATTTTATCATAAATAATATCTATAATTAATAATCAGGGAGTAATTCTTAATAATTAATTATGTTATTAATAAAATATATTAATTAAATAATTAATTAAACATAAGTGTGATCGGCATGCAATTCATATATTCAATGGAGCATATATATTCTTTAGGAGAAATGTTTGAAGATTTGTAAGTTTGATATTTATGTTCTCGTTGTAATTGTTTTATTAGTAAAGAAAATACTTTATATAATTTTTATATATCAAAAAATTAATTACAAATTAATTAAAAATTTATAAACTATAAGTTGAGAGCTAAAAAACTCGAAATATACGTTCATTATTGAATTAGAAGTATTTAACAAGATTAATTGATAAATATAAAATGATACAAAATAATTTTTATAATTAGAGTGAGAGAATGAAAAAATAGACGAAATAATTTCTGAATTAAAAGGGATAAAAAATATTTCAAGTAAATTGATAAGAATAAAAAAGAATTAATTTATAAAAAAAATTATAAGTTCCTAAAATAAATTCATATAAACTTTCTTATTAAATAAATTTATTTTAGTTAAATTTGTAACGACTTACTTGACCGTCACACTACAGAACAACACTACACAAAAGTATAATATGCATACAAAAAAGAATATATACATATATCCAAGACTCAATAACTTTAAGTATATCTAATACTAACAAAATGCTACACTGAGGTAGCCTACACAAAAGATTTAACTTCAGCCACCACCTATGACACTACTGCTACTTTTCAGTCTATCTCTGCTCTGCTCCCATACATAGTATGATTATCGCAGTCCAAACCACATGAAAACATGCAAGGGTAAGCTAGTGAAAATAATCAACATATAGATATAAACAACTTACAACTTCAACATCAGAAACAACATTTTCAACAATTCAACGTTCAACACATACCAACACCCAACTGAATCACAACTTCACAACACAACAACATATATACAACTCATATCAACATCAATTCAACTTATTCAACAACTTATGCGTCGTCACGCATTTATAACTCGGAGATCTCCTACAACACAGGTGAGTAGTCTAAGTGGCTAGGCCCTACCGAACCGACTTAAACAAGGAAATATAGTATTATGTCAGGATAGAACAACTGGGTTTAGGCCTACCACGGCATTAGCTAACTTAACTAAGCCACCTATGGGATTAGCCTACCGACTATCCTCCAAATATTACAATCCTCTGATACTCGGTTAGGAACTAAGTTCCCGACTTCTTACTTTACTCGAATTGACCACTTGTAATCGGTATAGCTCAACCTGGCCCCTATACCGTGGTTGCTTCATACACGTGTGCCTCAACCAAGGACGGAGCCAAGGGGGGACCTACGGGTGCCACGGCCCCCCCAACAATTTTAATTTTTTTTTA